CTCAGATAAATAAATAAAATCTTTAAAAAAAAAAAAAAAAAAGAATAAAGGACTTAATTGGTTTCTCATTAATCTTTATTTTTCTTTCTGGAATAGTTATTTAAAAAAAAATAGCTAGTATTTTTACACAGTATGCCCTTTGTTGAAATGTAGCAGTACTTGTTCAAACCTAAATAACAAACATTTTGTGTATACTGTTTCATATTTCTACTCCTCCTAGTTCTAAAAGTGATTTAAGGCACTGATCCCCGCTATGCCCAATGCCCTCTGCCTTCAAGGGACTTAAAGTCAAGCTGGAGAATTAATATATAAACTCAGTGCAAGCGAAACAACAATAAAAGAAAGAGAAAACAATAACAGCACAAGAGCTGTCATAGCGTGTGATTACCAGCAATGGTCATAACAGTTATTTAGCGCATACTGTGTACTACATACGCTGTTCCAGGTGACTTTTTTTATATGGGCTGAACTACCCTGTGAGTAGGTGTTGTTATCAATCCCATTTTCCAGATGAGGACACCAGGGCACAGAGAAGTTAGGTGACTTGCCCAAGGTCACCCTTGGAGCCAAGATTCAGACCCAGTCTCTCTGGCTCCAGAGTCCATGCTCTGAGCTCCTGCCACCTTGACTTTAGCTGCCAGAGAAGTTATCCAGGTGGTGAATGTTGAAAAGCAGTTCTCAGCATCAGAGGTTATGTTAGGCCAGTACAGCCCGGACACATTTCGAAGAGGAAGTGTGGAGTGGATTTGAGTAGCAGATTGAACAGCACGCAGAACAGTGAAGAAAGGAGAGCTTAACTCCAGGTGTGGTGGAGGAACTGTAAGAAAACATGTGGCCGGAGAAAAGGGGTCAGGATGGTGAATAGTTGGAGGTGCAGCTAGAGGTCCAGGTTGAAAGCAGATCACATAGTGTCTTGAAAGCCAAAATGAGGAGTCAGGACCTCTTGAGGGCAAAGTGGAAGAATTTTGAGAACTCTGGCTAAACCACAGCAAGATTTAGTAGTCAGTGCCTTTTTTTAACTTAATAGCAGAACACTTTAGAGAGAAAAGAGAACACTCGCAATGGAAAAGAAAGAATCTGCAGGGCAAACAAAACTTGCAGTGTAATTTAATAAAGGCGCTCGAGGGATAACAGAGGTGTAATTCTGCGAAGGACTCCCAGATTCACATCTTGGCACTGGGAGCATCATCAACTCCAAGAAGCTTCCCCAGCTCCTCTTCTGCATTCCCCAAGCCCCTTGTGTATTCCTCAGGCACTTTCCTTATTATACTGTTTTACAGTAACCTTTTACTCCTTGTCTAGTTTTCCCACTATATTGTAAGTTTCTTCCATGTTATATTTGCAGCACCTTGCTCAGGCCTGGGCCTAGAAGTGTTCAGTATGTGTTGGTGAATGATGGGGTGGATAGGTGGGTGGATGATGGATAAGGGAGTATAATCTAACCCCTTGATTTTATAGATGAAGACCCTGGGTCTTAAACCCCTGCGAGCCTCAGTTCCTCATGAATAAAACAGTGGTAACGATATCTGTCATGCAAGAGCTCCTGAAGATTAAGTGTGAAATGAGCATAAAGCCCCAGCAGAATGTCTTGCATGTCATACTTTATCACTTTGAGTTTTGACTGTGGTTACTGGTTTTTCAATTTCAGGAGATGAGGTTTCAGTGCATTATGACCCCATGATTGCAAAGCTGGTTGTATGGGCTGCAGATCGCCAGGCGGCCTTGACGAAACTGAGGTACAGCCTTCGTCAGTACAATGTGAGTGCCCTGGGCAATGTTGGGGACCCTGATGATCTGTGTATCTCCACAGCCAAGTATGTCCGTCATGATTGGTCAGCCTTTGTCCTTGTCGGCTTATTTCCACCAGTTACCCACATGTCAGGAACAAACTGATTTCACATTCCCATGGGTCAGAATAGAGTTTAATGACTTCTTGATTCAGCTAGAAAAGAAAAATTGCAGGGCTAAAACTGTTAATGTCAGTGTTATACTTCAGTGAAATCTGATATTAAATTCATATTCATCCTGTTAGATAAGGCCAGCTACACAAGTGTGGCCTACAGTCTGGTTTTATTTTCCCCTAAGGAAAATAATTATGTTCAGTTTTACCCATTTGACAGAGTTTGTTGCTTTTTTGTAGCACATTGATTTCCTTGGTGCAGTAAGCCCCAAACCATACTGATGTAGCATCATAGAAGGATTTATTAACCCGTGACATCCCAAGTGTTATATGTCATTAATTTGACCAAACTTCTCATCTCTGTGGCTCCAACCACACAGGGCTCCTTGCCATTCCTTGGACACACCCAGCATGGACCCATGTGTTCCTATTCTCTCTTCCAGAATGTTTTTCCCCACATGATCGCAAGACTCCCTCCTCACCATCCTCAGCTCCTGCTCATTCAGAATCCTTCCCAGGCCTTCTCCATTTTTTTTTTAAAAGATTTTATTTAATTATTGAAAGAGAGAGAAGGCACACGCATGCACACATAAGTGGGGGGGGAAGAGCAGAGGGAGAGAAAGAATCCCCAGCAGACTCGCGTTGAGCACAGCGCCCCAACGCAGGGCTCAGTCCTACAACCCTGAGATCATGACCTGAGCTGAAACCAAGAATCAGACATTTAACCGACTGAGCCACCTAGGCGCCCATCCATTTTTTTTAAAGTGAAATATAGTTGATATATAATGTTGTATTAGTTTTAGGTGTACAACAGAGTGAGTCAGTTCTGTACCTTACACAGGACTCACCACAGTAAGTGTAGCTACCATCTGTTACCAAAGTTATTACAGTATTATTGACTATATTCCATATGCTGTAGTTTTCATCCCTGTGACTTACTTACAACTGGAAATTTGTACCTCTTGATCCCATTCATCTATTTAACTTATCCCCTCATCGCCTTCCCTGCTGGCAATCATCAGTTCTCTATTTATGAGTCTGTTTCTGTTGTGTGTTTGCTTTGTGTTTTAGATTGCACATGTAAGTGAAATCATGTGATATTTGTCTTTGTCTGACTTATTTCACTTAGTATAATAACCCTCTAGGTCCATCCATGTTGTTACAAATGGCAAGATTTCGTTCTTTATTATGGCTGAGTAGTATTCTGTTATGTGTATACACCACATCTTCTTTATCCTTCATCTATAGATGGACTGAGGTTGCTTCCATATCTTGACTATTGTAAATCATGTTGCAATAAACATAGGGGTGCATGTATCTTTTCTAATTCGTGTTTTCGTTTCATTTGGGCAAATAGCCAGCAATTGGAATTAGTGGATCATATGATATTTCTGTTTTTAATTTTGGGGGAACTTGCACACTATTTTCCACAGTGGCTGCACCCATTTACCTTCCTACCAATAGGGCACAAGGGTTCCCTTTTTTCCATGTCCTTACCAACAGTTGTTATTTGTGTCTTTTTGATACTACCCATTCTGACCAGTATGAGGTGCTATCTCATTGTGGTTTTGATTTGCATTTCCCTGATGATGAGTGATCGTGAGCATCTTTTCATATGTCTGTTAGCCATTTGTATGTCTTTTTTGGAGGAAAAAAAAATGTTCAGGTTTTCTGCCCACTTTTTAATTGGATTATTAGGTTTTTTGGTGTTGAGTTGTAGGAATTCTTTATATATTTTGGATATTAGCCCCTTATCAGGACATATAATTTGCAACTATCTTCTCCCATTCTTCTTCCATTACCTTTTCATTTTGTTGATGTGCAAAAACTGTGCAAAAGCTTTTTAGTTTGGTGTAGTCCCAGTAGTTTAATTTTTCTTTTGTTTCCCTTGCCTGAGGAGACATATCCATAAATATGTTGCTAAAGCTGATATCCCAAGAGATTACTGCCTATGTTTTATTTTAGGAGTTTTATTGTTTTAGGTCTCACATTTAGGTCTGTAATCCATTTTGAGTTTATTTTTTGTGTATGGTGTGAGAAAGTGGTCCAGTTTCATTCTTTTGCATGTAGCTGTCCTGTTTTCCCAACACCAGTTATTGAAAAGATGGTCCTTTCCCACTGTATATTCTCGCCTCCTTTGTCATAGATTAATTGACCATGTAAGCATGGGTTTATTTCTGGGTTGTCAGTTCTGTTCTGTTGATCTTTGTGTCTATTTTTGTGCCAGTACCATAATGTTTTTATTACTACAGCTTTGTAGTGTAGCTTGAAACCAGGTCACCCCATTTAAAATAGGGCCCTTTGCTCTTCTCTATCCCCTTAACCAGCCTTATTTTTCTTCATATAGCCTGACATCATATTAGATATTTGTTTATATTGTCTGTTATCTGTCCCTAGAATGTAAGCTCTGTAAGGTTTCATTCCTCATTGTGTCCCCAGTACCTGGATCAGGACCTGGCACCTAACGGTGCTCAGTAAATGTCTATTAAATGAATGATTGGATGAATGACTGAATGAACCCAAGGCTCAGATAGCTGGTTTTACCCTTGATCCCATTTATTGGGTGTATGTGGGTTCATTTTATACCTTTTCATTTTTATATCGGTGTGTAAAGTTTGGATTTTAGTGTCGGAAGGAAGTTCCTTTGAGGTTACATTTAATCCTATCTCCGCCTCAGTGTAGCAATCCTAACCTCAGTTTGCAGTCTTCCTATTTTGTAGGAGTATTCTGAGTAGCAAGTCTTCAATATCTTGCAAATAAATCTCAATTTAAGTTTCTTAACATTTATCACTTTCCTAGCCTGAGTCAATTAAATGTATCCATGTGACCTACCCTAACATCATTTCCTATTTCCTCTTTATCATAAAGAGTAAAATGTAGTTTGCTACATTTTAAAAAATGTATCATAAAATACAGTTTTAAGTGTTAAGTCCAGATAGATAGTGATGGTGAAGTGGGTTGTTTTGTTTTGTTTTGTTTTTCCTATAAGTTGTCCTAATGCTGCCATGTGGTACCTTAATAGGTTTTTTATTTTCCTTGAGAGTTGTCCATTGTGGAAAATACTTCGTACAAAGAGCAGGTGCCATAGAAATGATTTTCTCTTTTTTTTTTTAATTTTTTTTTAACATATAATGTATTATTTGTTTCAGGGGTAGAGATCTGTGATTCATCAGTCTTACACAATTCACAGCGCTCACCATAGCACATACCCTCCCCAGTGTCCATCACCCAGCCACCCCATCCCTCCCACCCCCCTCCACTCCAGCAACCCTCAGTGTGTTTCCTGAAATTAAGTCTCTTATGGTTTGTCTCCCTCTCTGGTTTCATCTTGTTTCATTTTTCCCTCCCTTCCCCTATGATCCTCTGTCTTGTTTCTCAAATTCCTTATATCAGTGAGATCATATGATGCTTGTCTTTCTCTGATTGACTTATTTCGCTTAGCGTAATACCCTCTAGTTCCATCCATGTCTTTGCAAATGGCAAGATTTCAATTTTTTGATGGCTGCATAATATATATATATACACACACACAATGGAATATATATAATATATATATTAATATATATATAATAAATTCTATATATATATATACACACACCACATCTTTATCCATTCATCTGTTGATGGACATCTAAGCTCTTTCAATAGTTTGGCTATTGTGGACATTGCTGCTATAAACATCAGGGTGCACCTACCCCTTCGGATCACTACATTTGTATCTTTGGGGTAAATGCCCAGTAGTGCAATTGCTGGGTCGTAGGATAGCTCTACTTTCAACTTTTTGAGGAACCTCCATACTGTTTTCCAGTGGCTGCACCAGCTTGCATTGCCACCAACAGTGTAGGGGGGTTCCCCTTTCTCCACGTCCTCGCCAACATCTGTCGAGAAATGATTTTCTGAATATGTTGATTTCCCCACTCACTGGGGACGTGGGCTTTATTCTCTTCCCAGATTGTTGGACTGCATACCAACATTGACTTCCTCCTCAGCCTGTCCGGCCATCCAGAATTTGAGGCTGGGAACGTGCACACGGATTTCATCGCTCAACACCACAAGGAACTGTTTCCCAGTAGGAAGGCCACAGCCAAGGAGTTTTTATGCCAGGCAGCTCTGGGTCTCATCCTCAAGGAGAAAGCCGTGTCTGATGTTTTCAACATTCAGTCCCAAGGTATGGAAAGCTTTTCTCTTTGCTCTGCTTGTTAAGAGTCTATGAATAAGCATTGGAGGTGCTTTTCTTTCTTTATGCCACTCTTGTGTCCCTTTTCTTCTCTTGGTGATTGACACCGTCCTCTGCTAATGTGGTTTTTAGTGTGAAGTAGAGTAGATTCACATATATGGATGTGCCCATAAACACTTTTTAACCCATTAAATAAAACTTAACTAATTGCCTAACAGTGTTGAGATGGGTCTTTTTTCAACCAAATGCTAGTTTTTCCTACACCCTGTGCTGACTCCTTCCAAAGCTTTTTTATTCGCCGCTCCTCAAGGGCCTACGTTGTTGTATTTTCTGTACCTGTGGCAACTTCCTTGGTCCTAGGGACTAAAGACAGAGCACTGGAGACTCTCAGATTCTCTTGGGTACCTGAGATTTATCGTTGCGTTATTTCCTCCTTTCTTTTCCATTCTGTGATCAAATTTCTGATGAACTAGAGACCTAGGTACTTCCTCGAATCAGAGAATCTGAGCACAGGAAGGACCAAGGCAGAGATTCGTCCCGGTTGCCACACGCACACATGTCTGCTTCAACACCCCCTCTAAGCTGTTGCTCAGCCTCTTCTTAACACCTCAGGAAATTCGTAACGAGAACTCATTAGCCTGTTATGGTTTCAGTCAGTTCTTCCTTTAAAAGTTCTTCCCTCTAAATTGAGCAAAATCTGAGTTCTCCCAAACTTGCTCCAGAATATTTACTGCAGGCTAACTCCGACCTTTGGAGCAAACAGGGAAAAAAAAAAAATTAATCCATTTATCTCTTCATTATTTTTAGGATTATTATATTATAGGGTTTTATTATTAGGATCTTTAATTTCTAGATTCATTCAAGAAAGTTATATTGAAAGCTTAAAATATATAACTACAGCTTTAGGAGATGTGTGCTCTATTCTCATTTTGTCCTTTTACACTAAATGAAATGCATCTAAATATGCCTGCACGGTGTTCCAAAGCCTGAACATAGCATTGTTAGAATCGAGTATCCTCTTTTTTTAAAGATTTTGTTTATTTATTTGAAAGAGAGTGAGAGAGAGAGAGAGAGCATGGGGCTGGGGGGAGGGGCAGAGGGAGAGGGAGAAGCAGACTCCCCGCTGAGCAGGGAGCCTGACCCGGAGCTCCATCCCGGGTCTTTAGGATCATGACCTGAGCCAAAGGCAGACTCTCAATGGACTGAGCCACCCAGGCGCCCCAGAATCAAGTGTCCTCTTACTCCCTCCTTTTTACAATTTATAACGGGTGCACATAGGAGCTTCAGAAGAAATTGCTTCAGTTCAGCTATGCTGTAACTCCTGGATATCGTCCAACAGAGGATGAGCACACAAGCCTGTGGGCGGGACGAGTGACGCAGAAAGAGGCGAGGCGAGAGAAGAGTAGTGAGTGGTGGAGATTTTGGTGACCTGGAATGCATTTGCCCAAGAAGGGGAAGACCACTGTGCCGCTCACACCCCCGGAGGAAGAGTGTTGAGGCTGCAAACACTCTGATTTTTCAGAGAAGCTGGAATTTTTCACATGCCATTTCCTGAGATATAAATGAAAGTATTAATTTAAATTTAAAGCAATAGGGACAAAGAAGGCCCATTTGAGCTGCCAGCGTAGGGCGGGTGTTTTACGTTTTCTTTTGTAAGGTATGAAGTCAGGCCTGATGTTGCTGAATTTTAATTTTTTAATTAAATTAAATTTTAACTTTTTTCTAGATCAGTACTCACCTTTTGCATTCAGCAGTGGAAGAAGACTGAATATCTCTTACACGAGAAACATAACTCTGAGGGATGGTAAAAACAGTAAGTAATGTTTTATTAAAAAGAGGAGTGTGCTTCATGGAAATATATCACATTCACCTGGAATAAAAGGATCCACCCTAGTCATGGATCAGTCAATTACATTTTTTAAGCTCCCGTGCTTGCTTCAGCAGCATATATACTAAAATTGGAATGATACATTTTTTAAGCTCCCTAGCCTAACCATTGATAGGAATACTAGTATTGATTGGCTCGGGTGGTACAATTAGTGGTATTTTTGTTCTTTTTCCTCTCCCTATATTTTGTAAATATTTGAAAAATATGTCATTAAATATACCTAGCAAAACGACTAAAATGAAATATGCCAAGATGTTAGGTGACCATTGGGTAGTGGGATTTGAGGTGATTTGTAGCCCCCCACTCACACACACACAACCCACTTCTTTGTACTTTCTTTCCCTTGCAGCTTATCTTCAGCAAGAATGTACTACTTTTAAATAAAAACAATATCCAAAACTATTCTGGGGAGGAGGATTACCCACCATTCAGGCAGTGTTTCAGGTCGAAGTGGGTTATTAAGGAGCCATGATCTATTAAGTGCCCAATCACATGTAAATTTTTGTCTTCACCAAAATAGGGGCACCTGGGTGGCTCAGTCGGTTAAATGTCTGCCTTCAGCTCAGGTCATGATTCATGACCTTGGGCTCAAGCCCGGTGCCCACTGGGCTCCCTGCTCAACAGGGAGTCTGCTTCTCCCTCTCCCTCTGCCCCTCCCCACCACTCGTGCTCTCTCTCTGTCTCTCCCTCAAACAAATAAAATCTTTAAAAAAATTTATCTTCACTGTAATTGAATGAGGGGGAGTCCCTGCCATACCCATGTACAACCGATGAAACCGAGGCAGAGAAGGTGAAGTAACTTACTGAAGATTAGTGACATTGACATCCAGCCTTTCTGACCTTGACTCCTGTGCCATTTTTACTTTTCCAGTGGAAAATGGATTTTTGGCTGCAAACTAATTTGGGTAGGTTGAGGGTGGGACTGATTTATTGTAATTGAAACCAGGAGAGGCTGACATCAAAAATTTTAAATTTTTTATAAATTTGTGACTGGAACAATGTACCAGAGGGATCAGAATCCCTTGATAGCAGTATCCCTTCTGCTGCAGGACACTTTGCATGGGAAACCATATGGGTGCAGAGTCAGAGCTGGGGGGGCTGCATAATCTTGAACGTGAGGTGTCATTGAACTGTGAAAGCTCCATTATAAAAACGTGCCTACCAGGTAGAACAGAATCTTCCTGCTAGCTCATGGTAGTACCCTCCTCCCCAGACAGAGTAAGATCTTTATCTAAACTCTGTGTAGACATCTGTTCACTTTTTAGCAAATTCCTTTTTCACAGAAGTTGATTGGATTACAGCTCTTGAGATATTTTTTCATTCTGAACCTGGATGGTCATTACCTTCAATGTATTGAGTACGTGGAAAAAAATGTTTGCAAACATCCCTTATAGAGTAGCATTCTGCAAATGGTTAACCTGTCCATTTTATGCTAGTGTGGTTATTCATTTCATTCTTAAAAAACAGCCCCTCCAAAATCAGGGATTATCTTATTCTAGACCCCTATATACTGAATATAAGTCTCTGTAGGAGTAAAGTTTCAGTGGTCTCAGCCTAAATTAAACAGAAAAATCGCATGTGTGATTAAGAGTCAGATGAGCCAACTGTGTTATTTGGTATGGATCTTCACCAAGGCACTTAGGAGTATTTTGGACTATACTGCATTTCTTGGAAATTTTTAAAATTTTTAACTAAAAAATGAATACATTATTGAAAACCAGCATGATTGCTGTTCACTACATTCTTTTGGTAGTCTTTTTCAACAATAACCCAGCTTTCAGAAATGTTCTGGTGGGTCTCTGATAAATGCTAATTAACAATAGCCATGATTGAATAAGTGAGTACACCAAACAGGAAGTCTTAAGGGCCCAGAAGCATTTGTGAATTTAAAGTAGAACCAACTCTTAATGAATGATCAAGTATTTTAAATATTTAAGGCTTGAAAAATTCCTACTTTGTTGCTAGTGGCCATGCTTCACAAAACCCTGCCCTACCCTCAATAATAAGAATAAGAATAATAGCTAAGATTTATTGAGTTGTTTTGTATATGTCAGATATTAAGTGCTTTCCATGATTATTTAATTACCGTTTTCAGAATAGGCCAATGAAATTGGTGTTATTATTAGTGTCAACTTCATAAATGGGGAACCAAAGCTTAGATTGATAATTTTCTTAAAGTCATTCCAAAAGTAATTGGTGGAGCCAGAATTCGAACCCACACTCCAGGGTATACGCGCTTACCTAACACTGCACCATGCTACACTTACATACCTTATTAAATATATAAGAGGATGGGGCGCCTGGCTGGTTCAGTTGGTTGAGCATGCAACTTGATCTCAGGGTCATGAGTTCAAGCCCCACGTTGGGCATAGAGCTTACTTAAAATTAATTAATTTAAAAAATAGAGAAATAGGAGGATATTTAATGTTCTCTTGTGGAGATCTAGAGATAACTAGGGGAGGGAGGAACAAGTTCAGTTACCCTGTAACATATGAAAGAATTTATTCCTTTAGTGCAATTGTAAATGGGATTGTTTTCTTTATTTCCCTTTCTGCTATTTCATTATTAGTGAATAGAAACACAACAGATTTTTGTGTATTAATTTTCATTTCTTGCAACTTTGCTGAATTCATTTATTAGATCTAATAGTTTTTTGGTAGTCTTTAGGATTTTCTATGTATAGTATCATATTATCTCCAAATAATGAAAGTTTTACTTCTTTATCAGTTGAATGTCTTTTATTTATTTGTTTTCTTGTCTGATTGCTCGGACTAGGACTTCCAGTACTATGTTGAATAAAAGTGGTGAGAGCGGCCATCCTTGTCTTGTTCCTGACCTTAGTGGGAAAGCTTTCAGCTTTTTATCATTGAGTATGATGTTAGCTGTGGGTTATCGATAGATGAATGGATAAAGAAGACGTGGCATATATACACAATGGAATATTACTCAGCCTTAAGAAAGAATGAAATCTTGCCATTTGTGACAACATAGATGGACCTAGACAATATTATGCTAAGTGAAATAAGCCAGAGAAAGACAAATATCATATGATTTCACTCATTGTGGAATCTAAAAAATGAAACAAGTGAATAAACAACAAAGAGAGAAACAGACTCATAGAGAACAACTAGGGGTTGCTGAAGGAGTTGGGGGCAGTGGATGAAATGGTGAAGGGGGTTAAGAGGTACAAACTTCCAGTTATAAAACAAGTCACATGAATGAAAAGTACAGCATAGGGAATATAGTCAATAATATAATACACTTACGGTAAGCATTTAAAAATGTATGTAATTGTTGAATTCACTGTGTTGTATACCTGAAACTAATTTAATATTATATGTCAACAATAATTCAAATTTTTAAGAAATTTTTTAAAAAAGAATTTATAGTTTTCCTGGAAATGTGTTTACTATGATTCTGTTGACTTTCACGTCAGCTAAATACTTTTCATATTTCATAAATCAAAAAAAAAACCCTAATCTGGTATAATTGGATGCATTTTCTCTTCAGAAGGGTTAAAAGATATTGGCAAGATATAGGTTGGAGAAGGTTCATTTACTAATATGTTCATTATAAAGTTTTCAAAAAAATAGATGTTCTGAGTAATGTGAAGAGGAAAAAAAGATGTCTTTGTCCCTACTTTCCTCTCTTAAGGAATTTACCATATAGCAAAGGAGAAGTGGGTATGTTGGGAAGATAGGTGGTGTGGTGGTTAATAATGCAGACCCTGGGGGTGCATGGGGGGGCGCAGTCATTTAGGTGTCTGCGACTCTTGATTTGGGCTGAGGCCCTGAGGCCCTGAGGCCCCTGAGGGTCATGGGATCTAGCTCCGCATTGGGCTCCACACTTAGTGTGGAGTCTACTTGGGACTCTCTCTCTACCTCTCCCTCTGCTCCTCCCCACTGTGCTCTCTCTGTCTGTCTCTGTCTCCCTCTCTAAGATAAATAAATAAATCTTTAAAAAACTAAAATAAACTAAAAATAATGCAGACCCTGGAGTTAGGCTGTTATGGGTTTGATTCTGGTTCCTCTGTTGTGTGTGACCCTTAGGGAAGACATATACTCTCTCTAAGCATCAAGTGTCCTCAGCCATGAATGGGAATGATAGTGATAATTACTTCCGTGGGTTATTGTGGATGTTAAATGAGACGATACACAGAAAGCTCGTTGTGCAGCATATAGCAAGCAGTCCAGTACACATTAGCTGTCATCATCATTATTATTAAACTACCCCCTTGCTGCTGTTGAAAGACAAAGTAGGTATATAGGTCATATGTTAATAAAAAAAGGTGGAAAAATAAAATTTTTTTTAAGTTGGTTGCAGAACAATATGTATAAGAATATACTATTTTTATAAAAAAATATAAGTTTGTGCATCCTGAAAGGACACACATTAAAGAGTTTAACAGTAGTTACACTGGGCAGTGGAGAGGACTTTCCCTTTTTACTTTATGTACTTCAGTATTTGATTTTTGTGAACAGTTTTATTTTTGCACTTTTTTTTAAAACAGCTGATAAAGAGAAAAATCATTCTGTTATAAAACGGGATGAGGAAGGAACCACAATGGTGTTTTATATGCAAATGTCTATCTAAACGTTCGGAGGAGAGGAAATTCATTCCAGCTAGACAGGCTTTTCCCAGGGACCATGAATGGGTATGATGTGAACACAGGGCGAGGTTTCATTTGGTGGGGCTGGGGACTGACAACATAGTGAAGGAGGAGCATGAGCAAAGAAGCACAGTAGGGGGAAGACTGGAGGCACATATGGAGAACATTAATTTGCCCATTTTCCCATTTGGTTGTCATATAGGGCTATGTAGAAGAATGGTGGGAAATAAGACTGAGAGTTTAGGGCCTTCAGTACCGGGTCCGATATTTTGAATATGGTGGAGACATGGCTGGGAAGCGTCAGCTGGAAGGGCTGAGAAGGAAGCAGGAAGTCCCAAG